AGATGATGCTAGAATCATCTCCTTAGACTCTGGACCTCATTCATGTCTCTAGAATGAAGTACTCTCTCTTGTACTCCCTGTGACTATTATAATAGTGCATGACTATAGACTATTTAAATTTTAAAAGGGGGTTGAAGGAGAGAATAATGTCTCTAAAAACATAAGACCAAAATAATGTCTCCAAAAATTCTAAGACTCCAACACTAGAGAATATTTACACGAGTTCACATGTACACATATAATTTATAATTGCTCATATCAAAAACATATTTTACATGTGCATGGTGACACATGCTTGTAATTCCAGTTCTTAGAAGGATCAGGAGTTCAAAGTTATCTTTGGTCACATAGTGAGTTCTAGAACAGCATAGACAACAGAAATCCATCTTAAAAAAACAGAACAAGTCTGGTATGTCTATAAAATGCCAAAATGCCTTTTTTTTCTTTCCAGTTATTCATTAACCCATCCCCAGGGCCTAGTTCCTACATTGTATAGAATACCATCTTATTTTTATTTATTTTTTTTATAATTTTAAGATTTATTTATTTTTATCTATATGAGTACACTGCAGCTGTCTTCAGACAAACACTAGAAGAGTACATTGGATCCCATTACAGATGGTTGTGAGCCACCATGTGGTTGCTGGGAATTGAACTCAGGACCTCTGGAAGAGCAGTCAGTGCTCTTAACCGCTGAGCCATCTCTCCAGCCCCAGAACACCATTTTTAACAATGACTACTATTCTTGCCTCATAAATAATCTAAGTTTCTAATGAGAGACAATAGAAAGAAACAGATTTGTACTCATGATTGGGGAAGGTACTGAGAAAGACCAAGTATCCACGATGGGAGAGAAGACAGCACAGATCATGTGTTCACAAATGGATGCACTGTAAAGAGAGTCAAGGTAGCCAGAGAGTGCTGCTTACCTGAGTATCCAAAGGAAATACTGGAGATGGGGCTCAGGTAGATGCCTTTGCCATAGGCTGCTCCATGCAGCTTGCAGGGAAACACCAGGATGAATATATGAGCCTGGGCCCCCCATGGCTGTATATTAGGCATCCACAACACTTATGCAGTCGTCTGTCCTTCCATTTACCTACCTTCTCACACATCCAGATAACACTAGGTACCTAGTCTTGAAAGCTGATTGGCTCAACTGCTTGCTTACAAAGCTCTAGAGATTACTGCCTTAGAGAATGGGGAGGAGCAGGGCCACTGAGTCACTGTCTCAGCATCCACACTTCTGACCTCAGGCATTCATACATTTTCAGATTCTCAAACAAAGGAGCTATGGAAGAGGTAGCAGGAAGAGGAACAAAATCCACTCCTAGGAGTTTCTCAGGACAGTGAAATAAGTCTTTGTTACAATACCTTGAAGAACCATAAAATGGAAATTCACTGTCATTATAATAGGTTAATTGTCATTCCCAAAATACCAAAACACACAGCTCAACCTAAAATATACAACAGCCACATTCATTCTACATTTACAATGCCAACTTTCTCTGTAGGGAAGCTCCCAACAAGTGTAGGGATGAAGATGCTGAGACATGAACATGTTTCCAAGTACTTTATAGCACACTACCATAAAACTGAGTGAGGTGGGAGTGGAAAGCAAGAGGAAGGGACAGAGCCTCACCTGCAGTTTGGTGTAGGACGCATTGACCAGCCCATTGCGCAGGATTGAATGCCAATTCTCGATGTGGGACCCACTGTAAGGCAGAGTACTGTATGTCTCCTCACTGTATGAGATCCTAGGAGTACTTCAAAGACGCCACCCCATCCTCCTTCCCCACCCAGTACATGCAGATGGGCAGACACACCTACGACTGACATGTTCACAGACAGAGCCATAAGCAGCAAGCTGTGTGTGCGGTTACATCCACTGTTCAGTTAACCACATCTTAAACCCTCAACTACAGGCTCAGTATTTTTATTTGCCTTTTTTCTTGGTGTTTAAAATTCAATAAATTCATCTCAAATCCAACAAACTTATCATTGATCTCATATATTGTTTTCTAGTCCTGAAGTCATATCATAGTTTTTTAAAAGTACTAACACTCCCTTTAATTTACCCTTAATTCTTTCTCCACTTCCCCATTAGAAATAAATTATAGATTGCTTCCAAAAACATACAAATTTACCCTTTCAATCTATTCCTGTGTATCGTTTTACATGTAAATATTCTTTCCATTCAACTACATCATAAGCAATTTAAAAATAAAAACCATGTCATCCATAGCATTTTAACTCTTTATAGCACCTACCATAGTAGCATCTAATAAGTAACTGCTGACTAGCTGACAATCATGGAAACCATACATAACTCCTATATCCCATGGCCCCACTCCCCTCCCCCACCCCTGCTGCCCAGCCTCCATCTTCCTTACTGGAAAGCAAAGGTGCTTCCGTAGAGCTTCTTGGCGGTCCGGAACCGAGCCTCCTTGGCAGGAGGGCTGCTCAGCAGGAGGAATTGGTGTGAGGTGTGCATGAACTTCAGCTGCTGCCCAGGGTGGGGGTGGGATAAAAAAACAGAGTGGAAATAGAGATCAGGGAGGGAAAGGTTGGGAACAGGAAACAAATCATATTCATTTCACACTAACCCTGAACAAAGGAAATACCTTTAGACTCAAAAGACTACTGATGGACAGTACCAACCAACCAAGCTAGTCAGAGAAGAATATGCTGAGTGGGCACAGAGCTCCTGCTTGCCTCTCACCAGAAGGTAGAAGCTTACAGAGGGAGACTAATTACTTACCCTGCTGAGAGGTAGTTTGACAATGTGTGACCTGTTGCTAGAAATTATCCTGGGAAGAGAAAATGAGAAGGGACAGAATAAGTACATGGTAAAGCTATCCTGAAAAAGCAAAACTTACTTCTAATCTAGGGACAGCAAGTAAGATTCTAATGTCTGAATTGTGTGCTTATATCTAGGCCATATTGATATTTAAATGATAATGCTTACATATAGACTCTCTCTATATATGCCATATATACATATTATATACCTGTATCTATAAATATCATCATATATATGTATCTATAAGTAAATTTTAAAGAGAAGCTACCAACTAGACCAACTAGTTATCAAGGAATTAAACAATGAGTAAAAAGAGTCAAGGGGAAAGCTGCTACATCTAGGGAGAGAAAAGCACAGAACAAAAAGAACATTAGCTGTTACCAATCTGGGGGTGGGGGTGGGGTAGGTCTCAATCAAAAATGGCTAAACTTGTGTCTGGGGTTTAGTCTCAAAAGTGAGACTCAGGAATCATCCAACTTAAGTCCAAAAGAATCCTACAGGCTCTCAGGGATGAGAAAATAGAAAGATACTATATAGGTGTGTGTGTGTGTGGGGGGGAAACAGAAGAAAACTAGAATGAATTTTCTGAGGAGTCAAGGGCAAACTGGCTGGACATAGGCTAATCATAGAGGGCAGGAGAACAAAAGCCTAAAACACTGGAGGTTCAGCAGGAATAACGTTGCCTACAGTGGATACAATGTATTTTCTGTACCTAATCTAAGTATTTATTTTGGTTGTTTAAATTTTATGTATGTATATATGTGCAGACATGTGTGCCTGTGGAGGCCAGAAGTCAGCCTCAGGTGTTGTTCCTTAGGAGATGTCCACCTTGCTTGTGTAATTAGGTCTTTCACTGGGACCTGGGGCACATTGATTAAAGTACTTTGGCTGGCCAATGAGCCCAGAGATCTGCCTACCTCTTCTTCCCAGTGCTGTGAGCACAAGCGTACGCCATCATGCCTGGCTTTTTTGGTGGGTCCCAGGGATCAAACTCAGGTCCTCATGCTTATATGGTAAGTATTTCACCAACCAAAGAATCTCCTTATGTTCTCACCATGAACTTTGGAATGCTATTTTGGAAGTCTATGTCTGGAAATTGTTCGTGCTATGAGAGAAGTAATCTACTGCACTGGCTTCTTAGTGTCAGAGGCTGACTTGGAAGGAAGTAAACTAAAAACAATTGTCAGGAAAACCGAAATCCGCAGGAGGGAGGAAGAGTCATGGGAAAAGTCCAGTTCTTCTTTGCTGGCAGTAGAAACAGCGGCTATCTGGCTCTAGCCCCTCAACATACGAGAAGGAGAGAGTGGGTAGGATGAATTTCTTTGAACACACAGCAAACTAAGCTGAAATGAACTGGAGTGTGATAAAAAGTTCAAAACCTACTAATGGCAGCTACAGTTAATAGCATTAAATTTCTGAAAATTGCTAAGTCATCATGGGCAATAATGTAGCAACCAAAAGCCTCTAATAAACCATTTTATAATGCATGTTGTACAAGACAAATAAACATATTGTATATATTTTTAAAAACCTTATAATTAAAAGAAATAAGTAAAAAACCAAACATTGGGAGAAATCATGTCAGAATTTGTGAACTCTTTGTAGGATCTCAGTTACTGTTCAAGTCAAGGCTTGCCAGCATAACAAGAAAAAGCAGTCATACTTCTAACTTGTAAAGAATGCTGAAATGCCTCTGAAAGAAGGTGCAGAGCCATGCTCCACAACTCCTTCCTTCCCCACTCCCTGTGAAGCCTGAGCCGTTCCAGCCATACCACTGCAGAAGAGGATGGGCCAAGGGGTCCAGCTTGTCCATCTGTTTCTTGATTTCCAAATATGAGCCCTGTAAGACAATGGCCATAGATTAGCTTCCAGGAGAGAAAGGGCCTCTTCCACTTTCTACAGACTACTGGGACTCAAAGCAGATAGGCAACTGGAGGAATGAAGACAAGGGGGTTCCCACCCTCAAAGAGGCCCAGGTGGGTTGGGAAGACTCATAAATATGAAAATGACTGAAGATGCTTACAAACCAACATGCAGGTGGGTCTCCCTCATTTTATGCAATTCCTACAGCTCTAAAAAAGTTGCTTATAAATCAAAAAATAAATAAAATCAATGTCCCCAAAAAATTAGGCTAAAGAATCCTGTGGCATATCTCCACATAAAACAGTCTTTCTAATAAGTATGTCATCCCTTCTAGGTGTGCCTTCTGTGTTAACCTGCACTGTGATATATAGGATTTGCTGAGAAGAGACCCACCTGTAAATGTGAGTACAAATGAATGTCTATTCATGCAGATACTGCAGACGAGGGGTGGGGAAATCTGGTGAGGGACAGCCTTGAGTCAAAGGATGATCACTGCTCCGTGTGGCTGCCCCACCCCTAGAAGGACAGAAGATGCAGCCCCTGGATCTAGCTCCTCATCTTCAAGCCTCCTCTTCACCCTCCCAACCTTGAGCAGAGGTCTTTCCCTCACTTCTCTAATTCCCTAAGAACTACAGAAAAACATTAAAATATAAACAACTTGTGAAAGATCAGCAGCAGAGATAATGTTGAGGGAGACACTAGGAGCGAAGAGAATTGGGGTAAGAAAGCTAGCAAAACAAAGAACGGGAACTGGGAAGGTTACAGAGGGGACATAAACAACGTAAGGATCTGAGTGTCTTCTCTGCATCCTTAGCCTAGGCCCACGAACGACAAGCAGGAAAGGGCGTGGAGCAAAGAGAAGGCAAAATACCTGGGTCATCTCCCGGATGGACATCACACTGTCCAGAGCTTTCTGAAGCCGCTCATAGTTCTTCTTCTATTGATGGTCAATGAGAAGAGAAGAATCGGAAGAAGAAATACAAAGTGCCATGGAAATACGAATTAGAAAATTCTAGTTACATGCTAGTCCTTTTTTACCAGTTGTAATTAATTGGGTAAGTCATTGAACACATTTAAGTATTTCAAGCCCTGTTTGCAAACGACAAGAGGTGTTCTGCTCGTTTTTGTTTTTTTTTTTTTTTCATGTCAGGATTTTGGTGTTGCTAGGGACTGATCAGGCATGCTGATAAGTGCTCTACACTGAGTTATACCCCAGCATCTACTTGTAACTGTGGCCATCCTCAGAGATGTCTTCAGAATTAAATAAATGTATAAATCTAGTTATACTGTGCCCCATGTACTGACATGACAATGAGGCATTGTAATATATGGTGATGGTTAATTTTAGAAGTTATATTGAAAGCTGGTGATGCACACCTTTAATACACATGGGAAGAAGAGGCAGGCGGATCTCTGTGAGTTCGAGGCCAGCCTGGTCTACAAAGTGACTTCTAGGACAGCCAGGGCTACACAGAGAAACCTTGTCTTGGAAAAAAAAAAGTCAATGGGGTATCTACTTATTTGGTCAAACATGATTTCTGGGTTTGTTGTGGAGATGTTTTGGGGTTCTGATTAACAGCTGAGTAAGTATACTAGGCAAAGAAGATCATATTCCTTAATAAGGATCTCATCTAGTCAAAGACTCAAATGAAATAAAAAAAGCTAACCTTCCTCAACCCTGGCTCTTCAATAAAAGGGTATTCTCCTTACAGCTTTAAATCTGAATGAATTGTAAAATTGGCCCTGTGAGTCTTGAGCCTGTCCAGTTCTCAAGCCTCTGGACTGAAACCAGAACATCATTCAACATAGGCTCTCTGGAGCTTCCAGCTTGCTGAGTAGATATGGGGACTTCTTAGCCTCTCTAAGTAGACAGGATTATTCCACATAATAAACTTCCCCTCTATAATTCACATGTGTATGAATGGAATATATTTACAGTTATTCACAGGCTTTTAGCTGTCTTCTGGAGAACCCCATGGGGTATTTTATATACATTATCTCTCACTTTTATAACAATCCACAAAATAACTACTACACCCTTTTACAGGCAGGGCAGTTGAAAATGAGAAAGATCAAGTACCTTCCTAGCACTATTCTACTAGGAAGCCAAAGATCTTCTGATGGAATGGCTCCCAAAAAGCCTATCTCCTTCACTGTTGTTCTGCTGTACTTTCCTTCCAGTCATGATCTCAGAGTATAGCCTAAGTTAGTCTGAAGTTTACAATGTAATCTAGGCCGGCTTCAAACCATAAGCAATTCTCCTGCCTCAGTCCAAGTGCTGGGACCGCAGGTATGAACCACCACATCTAGTCCACACCTATGTCCAAACCATCATGATTACAACAGGTTCTATTTTTTTCCCCTTCTTTTGACAAGCCCAGCTTTTTTGTCAGACTAACCCTAGAGTTAAAGACTACCCAAGAACCAAGTGTTCCATTTTTCTGTCCTTTACTTAAACTGTATGTATTGAAATGACAATCCAACCACCCACCATTTACCATTTCTGTTCATTAGCTTTCTCTTCTCAAACAATCATACCTTAGGGTTAAAGGCCAGAGTCTTGGGATCAGTGGGGTCCACCACAGAGGGGTAAGGCTCGAAGATGATGCTTTTTCTAGGGGACTCCAAAGCTGCTCTACACATGGCCACCAGCAGATCTACCACCTTAGGAGAAAAGAAAGGGGAAACTAAATGACCGCCTAGCTCTGGGAGCCAAGAGGTCCCAGACTACAAATACTTTTTCATGCCTTTCTAATTATAAAAACACAAAATTATACAAAAACACTAGGGCTATAGAAATGACTCAATGAGTAGGAATACTTGACACACTTGCAGAAGACCAGGGTTCAGTTCCCAGCACCCACATACGACAGTCTGTAGCTCCAATTCTAAAGGGTCTGATACCTTCCTTCTGACATCTGTGGTCATCAGACACCCACAGAGTACACATACAAACATGCAGGAAAAACATTTATACCCATAAAATAAAAATAAATCTTTACCTGAAGTTCAAATACTAGCAAAATAATTAAAGAAAAGAAATATCATCTCTTAATTCCCCAAACAAATTCATTTGCTCCCAAGTAACTATAAAATTTGATGAGTAGCCTTCCAGATATTCTGATATACAAATACTTATTTGTTCTTTCCTTCTTGAGCAAAGAGGGCTGTAAATGAACAGAGGACCTCACCTCTGCTAAGTAAGCACTTGCAACTCTTTAACTGAAGAAACCCTCCTGCTTTGTCCCTCCAAGCAGCTAGGCAGCTAAAGGAACATATCACTACCCCAAGCCTGACTTGGTATTTGATTTCGGACATAACTGTGTATTACAACTTGATGTGTATAAATAACATCTGTTCAGTATTTTTTTTGTTGTTGTTAAAGATTTATTTATTTTATTTATGAGTACACTGTAGCTGTCTTCAGACACACCAGAAGAGGGCATCAAATCTCATTACAGATGGTTGTGAGCCACCATGTGGTTGCTGGGATTTGAACTCAGGACCTCTGGAAGAGCAGTCAGTGCTCTTAACCACTGAGCCATCTCTCCAGCCCCCCTGTTCAGTATTTTTAATGCAGGGATAGGCTATAATTTGAATGGACCTCCTACAGAGTCTATTATCCATTTTTGTCTTATTATAAGCTTTATATTGTAGTGAACATCATTAAACATAAAAGTATATTTGGAGGCTAAATTCCAAGGAATGAAATTGCTGGGTTCCTTTGCCTTTTTTGGCTTTGTTTTGAGACAGGGTCTTGCTATATAGTTCTGGTTGCACTGGAACTTACTATGGAGACCAGGCTGGCCCCAAATTCAGAGATCCCCCTGCCTCTTCCAAATCCTGAGATTAAAGGCATGTGCCACCATGCTTGGCCTCTTTTTGATCCCAATTCCCCAGTGTCTTTTTCCTACCTCTGCTCCTGTAGCCACTTCTTCTGCAGCTCCAGACATGACTCCCAGTGTGTAGAAGGAGAAGACACATAGCTCACGAGTACAGACAGCTGGCTAAAGGGACACATAAACAGACAGTGGAGCTTTGCCTTGTGTATTGAGAAAATGTAGGGAGAGATAGAACTGACTTTATGCAATTCTAGAGTAAGGCAAGAATCTGGGGAGGGCAGGGTATGGTGAAGGGGACTATCAATCGAAATTTAAATGCCTTACTAGTAAGTCTGAGTGATTTTTGTCTACCTATAAAATTTTCTCTGGTCTTGAAGGTAGTTAGAGGTTCTCTCTTCTGAGTTTCCAGAGCATTGCTCCTTACTCTTACATACAGACACAGACTATAACTTACAGCTAAGTGTTCTGCTTACCCACTGAGATTTGGGAATAGCCAAGTACACCCTGGTCAATACCAGATCCCTGGTTATAATCCAGAGAAAACTAGGTTTTCTAAGAAAACACTCATTTCTAGAGTTCCCAGGATCGAGGACAGAACTTATCCTTTAATACAGGCCTAGGAAGAAGGGAGAGAGGGTCAGAGCAGGGCCTGTACCTTGAGCATGGACCCATTCTGGAAGACATGCTGCTCATCACACACCACACAGTACTCATTCAACGTTGGGATCCTCTGCTCTGCATACTTCATAATCTGGAGAGACAACAGAGGCCACATCTTTTGAAGTTATAGATGTTTCTTGGGTTTTTTTGAGATGATGGAGATAATTTAAGCTTTTCTACCTTAGATCTCGACCTTAAACTGATGGCCTCACTACACTGGTAACTCTCCTTGTTACTGTACAGGTAAGAACAGTATGACTTTGAGATAGAACTCTTGAGTTGACACCTAGAGCAGCTATTTACTATCGAGTATAACTAGGAGAGTCAGATAACAGCCTTCTTGTCTTCATTTATAAAGTGGTACATTATGCACCTCATTGGTATGTTGCAAGAAATGAGATTTATCCATGGGAGTATTCAAATTCTGGGAGAAGGCGTCAAGCCTGTGAACCTGAGTTACTGGGACCAACTCCCAACAGTGTCTTCTGCCCTTCACATAAGTGTTATGGTACACAAGTGTGTGCATGCATGCACACATACACACTCTCCCCCTCTAATTAATTAAACTTAAAAAGTACAATTCTAAACCAGGTACTGGTGGTGCATGCTTTTGATCCTAGCACTCGGAGAGCAAGGGCAGGTGGTTCACTGAGAGTTCTAGGTCAGCCTGGTCTACAGAGTGAGTTCCAAGACAGCCAGGGCCGTTACACAGAGAGACTGCCCTTGCACCTTAGCGTGCATTCTGAGGCTTGCAAATAAGTGAATTTACCAGCTAAGCCATTTCACAGGATCCCATGAAAGTATTTTATTAACAGGTACTGATTAATCAGTTGAAGTGGTTATAGTCATTATAGACTTTTTATTCGTGGAATGTAAGTATTCAATCCCAGAT